CTGTTGTCCCGTCACGTTGTGAACGTCTTATATATACAAGACTAAAACATATCTAGTAAATGCTAGGGCATTCCTGAAGGAACAGGATATTTCTAGAAACAGGTGGCGTGATACAAGTCGCGTGACCTCGCTGACGCAACAATACTACTTGTGTGAAACTAAGTTAATCTGAGAATATCATACAACAGTATCGAAAATCATTATTACTTTGATTAAAAAAATAACGTTAATTATTTTCCAAACATGCCAAAACTGCCATAGATGTTCTTTTTTTTCACCATCTTCTCGTAAAACCAATATTAAATGCTATGTATGATATTTTAATTTTATATTTTGAATATTCTTGAATTAACCTTCCGGTGGGTTAGCTGTGTGTTCTAGGCTTACTGTGCTAAAATATGGGATATGATTTCCTCTGATGGACTGAGCGTAGATAGCCCATTGCGTAGCTTTGCATTTACTTAACATATTTATGATTCAAAGAAAACCTATAAACAATAAGTTAGTCAGTAAGTCCTATTTAATAATAAAAATAATAATTATTTGTTTGTTTTGTTGTTAAGCACAAAACTGAGCTACACAATAGGCTCTCTGTAGTGTTCCCACTACTGGTATGGAAACTCGGTTTTTACTTTTAGTAAAAATGTAAGAAGATTGGAGTTAACTATAAACCATCAAACATATGCAAATGCAGCGAATAGAGTCTGAAAGTACAAAAATAAAAAGTAAAGTTGCTGCAACGGAAAAATAATTCACATGTTTTGGCCAAGCCATTTCATTTTTTGTTACAGACTAAGGTTTGAAGAAAGTAGATGTCGTGTTGTATACTTTGCTCGTAGTTTAGAGAAGTTTTAAATATTGTTACGATCATTTATGCTAACAGCTAAGTAATTATGCTTTATGAATATGACGCTTTATTCTGACTCGTGCCTGAAAACATTGAGTAATGTAATGTTACACTAATATTAAATAGACTGTCTTTTATAGTTAGATTTGTCAGCGAAATGACTAAGGACCGTCTTGCAGCACTCAAGAAAGCGGTAAGTTGATTAGTACTACTAGTACTTATTTAGCTTAGCTTGACTGTGCAAGGCTTCAAGTTTAACAAAATTCAACTTTCAAGGTGTCATTGTCGGTAGGAGGTTTCGTTGAACTTTAACTTTTATGTAGTAAAAATAAAACAAAATTACACACTGACATTGCATGAAACTTGTGACAAGGCGAGATAAAATGTAATCTTAATAAAATATTCAAAGTTCAATTTAAAACCTATACACATTAATTTATATTGATAAATAAAATGGAAACTGTTAACAACCAAATGGAAAATCAAGTATGAACTTACATAATTACGTATTAAAGTAAAGGAGAGATTTTATATTCACATTGGTTTCATGACTGATAGATGCATACTTGTTATGATGTGAAGCAAACTGTTGTCAAAGCAATGTATCATATGCTTACAGTTTCAATTCATGTGTTGTTTTTTTATGTGATGTCAGTTGGAATTGTGCAGTTATATATATATATATCAACTTGTGAATTATCAACTAAAGACCACAAAGCTCATTATATGGCTATGTTTTGTCAAATTAAATAATCAGTAGGTACTTATTAATAGTTTTAAAGTTTTATTTGTGTGTTTTCAAATAGAAAATGCTTCTGGATAAAAAAAAAACACACACACCCAGAACAATGAAGAACATGAAGAGAGCTATCATTTGATATGTTACTTATTCGTATGGGCCAAGCACCCACTCGCTGACACCCATTTTTTGATGCTAACATATGCCCACTGGTTGCTGCTAAATGGCAGCAGAATGTTTAGTGATAATGGCAATCTTATATGGTTGCCTTGAAATAAACAGTGCAAATGCAGCATGTAATAGTACTGTAGATCTTTTTTCATTTTTTTTGGGTGTACAACTAATTTAGTGTTTTGATTATAGTAGATTTATATATTTGCAACTGCGATTTTACGCATGGACACTTCCATGGCCGAGAATTATAATTCTCCAGGAATTCTTATTTACTTGTAAATTACTTGTATAATTATGTTTTATTAAACATAAAAGTTTAATATAGCATCATTAATTATCTATTATTTTCCAATCTCAGTTAAACTTAAAATGTGTTTCATTCTTAGTCACTACTCTGAGAGATGAGAAGTAAATAAAATAAATTTTATTTCATGTGCTACAATTATTACGTGTTTTATAAATGATACCGATAGTGTATTTCATTTGGATATCTAAGTGCAAGTGCATGTTATGCATTCTGCTATAGCCATATACTTAGTAGTAGATTCAGCAAAAATAGTCCATTGTCATCGCATAAAATTTCATGTGTTGTGTTTGACTATGAGGTAAGTAAGTACATGTTCAAATATTAAAGATAAAACCTCTTATCAGATTAGTGTAAAACTAGCTACAACATTTTCTCCTGAAGTGATAAGCCCCACTAATTAGGATACCAAGATCTACTCCTTCCATAATACTATTAAGGTTTTCCCATCAAAATTATATTTATATATCAAATTATCATAACTCACATGCATTACTTTCCATTTATTGAAAGCCATCTACAATTTATTTGCCCAACTCACCAAGTGATGTAAATCCTATTGTAAAGCAGCAACATCCTCCTCACACCTGCCAACAGTCAAAACCAGAATATAAATGGCAAATTTGAATATTTTATTGACCATTTCTTTATCTATGTTACTGATATAAATTAGAAACAGCAGAGTTCTAACACTGAATTCTGAGATGACACACGTGACATTAATCCAGCTTGACTGAACTCCACTGATAACAAATCTCTGCTTTCTTTCATTTAAGGGCCCCAATTGTTAAATTTTCCTAAATGAAAATGTGTCCGTTTAGCTTTACTGTTTGATTTCTAGTTTTGTCCACTTAACATTTCCATTAATTTCACATGCATTAAATTACTAATTTCTAATGAGTTACCTTATCAAATACAAGTGAAAGTCAAGATACACATCGTATGGATTCCCATTTGATAAAATAGTAGAATCCATATAAAAAACTCCAACAAATTACTTGAATTAGAGAACCTTGTTTTATTCTTCACTTTCAAATTTCGAATTGTCCGAGTGTCTAAATGAACATAAATATACATATATATATTTTGTGTTGTAAAATATTTGTTAATTAATTACAGCTGTAATTAATATTTGTATTCAGGTTTATTAGACCTGCAATGACCTTTATGTACATCTTTAAACATATACGTTTGATAGTTTTTTTCTCTTTTACTTTATTTTATTTGCTAGGCCCAAGGAGATGAAGATGAAGTGGTGATCTCGGTGGAAGAAAACACATTGGAGCAACATATGGAAGCATTTTTCAAAGAGGTTCTATATGTATTAGTAGCTGTCACCTTAAATAAGAAAAAAAAAGTTACTTGTTTACTAAAAATTGTGATGTACTTAATAAAAAATATATACAAATTACATTCAATATACTTGTGTTGAGATGTGCAATTCAATCTGACTTAAAAAAAAAAATCCAAGGTGACAACATATCAAAATTTCTTCAAGGTTGTGATTAATATTTCCAACTAAATGTTGTACTTGGTGCTCTGATATTATTGCAACCGAATATTTAATATATCCACATGATTTGACTTAAAGATTTGTTAGTTTGTGAAGTATTTTGTTTTTGAAATAAAAGGATAAGTGAGAAGACGTATGCTTTGATATTAATTTTGCTTTTATCATAGGTTGAAGAAATAAAGGAAAATGTGGATAAAATTGAAGCATATGTAGAAGAAGTCAAGATAAAACACAGTTCTATACTTTCTTCACCACAAACTGATGAAAGTAAGCCAACTGTGTAAACATTTAGGAGATATTTTGACAAATAACCTATGTATTATTGGTTGTCCTATTTATTAAACAAATGTTTTAGGAAGGCACAGTCAGGTTATTAATGAACTCACCATAGACTAAATCATCAGTATTCATAGGTGTTGGAGCAAACCTTAAGCTGGTGGGGACTGAAGTACTTATTCCTTGTAGAAGTACTGTTGAGGAGTATTTTTAATGCCATTCTATAAATTCTGTTATCATGCTTTTTCCATGTGTGTAATTATACATTTTAGTGTATTGAAATACTGTATAAGGCAGTGTAATAACTTACAGAAAAGGCCATTTTATTAGCATTAAATAGCAATATTATACATATTTTGTCTTATACTGTAGTTGAAATATATTTTTCAAACAAAACAATAAACATTACAGTTTGTAATAGATATGCACATGTAACCTTAGTCATAGTTGTCAAAGAAACCCTTTTTGTTTGTGTCATTATCTGTGAAACAAAGACTTGCAACTTCTACAAGGTCTAGAGTGTTAATACATTTCGTGTGACAATGCAAGAGCAACACATTGTTTAGCCTCTGTATCTTGTGAGTGTCAGCACAGCCCATCTCATTGGATAGAGGAATTGTAATCCAGGGACCTCTGGTGGCAGCTTCCTTTTCATATTGGCAAAGATGGGTTGTCATTTTGGTGACTTGCAAATTAATTGACACATCTCCATGACTAGATTATGCAGGTCTCTCACAATCACATACGCTGCAGCTACATACTGAAGACACAAGTTCAAACAGTGCACAAAACATTGAACCTGAATAGTTGTGGGATTTTTAGTCCTCAAATTTGTTGCTACTCCATGTGAATGACCCTTCATGTTGGTGGCACCATTGTAGGCTTGACCACAGCACTGGAAAAGTGGAAGGCAGCAGTAAATGTGTGTGTGTGTGTAATTGCCATGGACAAAGTAGTAGTACTGATTTTTTCAACAAGTACCAATCAATGTGATCTTCATCTACCCAATATACACGTATTGCTAATCACTCCTTGTCATCTATGTCCCTTGTTTCATCTGCAAGGATAGCAAAGTGCCTGACCCCTTGGATAATTTTCAGTATGCCACTCAAAATACTCTGACCCATTAGTGTAATATGCATGTTATTAATGTCGGGTGAGATATAGTCACCATTATTTATCCTCTCTTTATTTTGGGAAAGTTCTCTGACCTCAGGGTTAACAGTTGCCTCAGATTACCTTATACGTATATATGTCCTGTGATGGCCAGACCTTGATGTAAGAGCCATTTTCCCATCTGGATAGCTGCTTGAGCAGAATACCTCTGCAATCAGCTTGGCATTTTAGCATGTGAGTATTTAGTTGTGTAGCTTTATCAGTAGTTTTACTTGGCTGCTTTTTCATACATGCTTCTTTGTGACCATTGTTCACCTGATGACTTGAACATCTTTCACAAGCCTTCTTTCAGTTGTTAAATCCATAACACTTAGGTATAAATCATTAGATGCTTTTCATGCTCAGCATGAGGAACAAAATACTTTACATCTGGACATACACACAGAATTAGCCAAGGGAAATCTTTGAACCACTGTGAAAGGAACAGCATTCCTTCTTGTTTCCCATGTTTTGTCTTGTTGATCTCAGTATGTCTTGATATTTTGGCTGATAGGGAGCATCAGTTGTACAGCATTTTGAATAACATTGGACAGCTTTTTGATTGAAAGCAGATCCTAAACACACAACATACTGTGTTGTCAGGTTAAAGTATGAATTTTAAACTTATAAAATGTTTTTCTGTTTTGGAATACTTGCATCAGCACTGGCATTGATTTATGTGCTCATTTGTTAGTATAATTCTAATAGGATTGATTATAATTGTTCCTATGTGTATTAATGTACTATCATACCATAAATGGTAGACTATAACTGCTTATAATGTTATATTATTCAAGCTTTACATCAAATCATCTGTAATGAGAAGAGGTGCATCACTGAGTAAGTTTTCCACATTGGAAAGAAACCTGTGCCCCAGATTTTAAAATCTGTGGAAGCAACCCCCTTCCACTCAAAACCTATCAATATCTTTTATAATGTTAAGTACCTAAGCTGTAAGATTAAAATAATTCAAGTTGTGTCATTCTTTACTGGCCCATTATGGATATTAATAATTTTTTATTAGATGAATCTTATGGAGTCTCATGTCTTAATGATGACACCAAAATACCTTGAATATCTTTTGTAAAATTTCACTAATAAATATTTTGCTAATTCCTGTGAGTAAACTGAATTTTTGGTGTGGTTGTTTTAACAACAAAAAATGAAATGCATTGTGATTTCAGATCAATATTATTGGATTCAAGCAGATAGAAGTCTCAACATCAATGTACTTTACTTTATAAACCCGTGCTTATTTTCATCAATGGTGTTTCTAATTGAAATTTTAGTAAAGTCTTTTTTTTCTTGTATCATATGTTTGTGTAATTATGCCAAAACAAAACAAGATAAAACTAAAGTGTTTATTGACAGAGGTGAAGGAAGAGCTTGAAGGTTTATTGGCTGACATCAAGATATTGGCAAATAAAGTCCGAAACAAGTTAAAAGGTAAATATGACTTATTTACAGTTATTTAGGGTACTTACTAGTTGTTCGGATATGATACAACAGTCATTTGTGTAAGTCTTAATTTTTTAACAATACCATGTTTTATTTTTGATCACACTGAACTTCAAACAACAGTTTTCTTGAGAAAGATTTTTGAAAGCTAAAAATATAATTATCTAAAAAATGTGTTTAGGCATCTAGTGTACACTAAAGATAATGATACTTCATTAGGTTAGCTGAAGTATTAAGATGAGTCAAAGAATGAGGAGAAAATAATGCAATTATAATCAGTCTCATGAAAATAGGATGTATTGAAGTAAACATTCAAACTACTTATGTAGAGTTTGACAGATTAGCCAGCAGTGATTGATAAAGAGAAGTTTCCAGCATCTTTTTATGTTTTTTATAGCTGATACAGCTTTAAATATTTTGAGATTAAAGAGTCCGGAATAGGCTTGTTTGTATGGTTTTTTGTATTAGTGATCAATTTATATTTGTGAGTGAATATTTTTATTATTTGTAAGTTTTGTTATGATAATAGTTAAAAGCAGACGATTGTGGGAGGTTTTGTTAATAAATAATTGGTGTCGAAAATATTGATAGTGGCCAGACAACTATGTAATAAAGATATAAATAGCGTGAGACAAGTGGGAAGCAGTAGACAGACAACAACAGACAGATAATAGCAAAAGAGAATATAGTTGTGTGAAGTTAAGTATTGCAAAGGTGATAGGCCTAACGTTTAATATGTTAGAGTGAAACTAACAGTATAAAAAAAGATAAGAAGGATAATTTTATTCTGTCAAAGCGTGGTTCTAAAGTAATTGAATCAGCCTGGGTACCCTTTGACAAAAGGAACAGAGGATCTTCAGAAGAAAGTAGACCAAACGAATTATGGTAACTTGCACCACAACTGTAACTGTAAGTGAATCACATACAGAATGCTAGAACAATAGTAATATAGAGAAGATAGTTTGACTTGTCAACTGAAATTCTAATGTAATTGAATTGGCCTAAGTGGACTTTTGACAATAAGAAAACTATATATAAATAGTGTTTATGATATGCCTATAATCTCTATAGTGTGAAGACTTTGTTGTATATACATTTAACTTGTTCCGAATATATATGTATATATTATTTGAAAACAAGTAAAGTGTTTGCTGTTTATTCATCATTGAATTTATTGCTAACAAGTTACAGATACCTACTGCAGAAGAATCCTAAGCCCAACAACAACATAGTATATATTTATACTATTAAGAAATATAATTAAAAGCCATTTATTCCAACAATTAGCAAAAAGAAGAACTTGTATATATATATATATATTATTATTATTATTAAAATCTGACAATGTTATATCTTCAATTTGCTCACCTTTATGATGTTCACAAATATGCTCAATTTATATATACTACTTTTCAAATCTGACAATTGGTGAGCCAGCCAGGATTATACAGTGGTAAATAGTGATAGAGGAAAACATGAACGACAGCGGAAATAAGTAGGCCTATCTGTATACGCACAACTGTAGTAGTAACGAAAATAGTATAGAGATTAAAATTATGCTATATAACCATGTCAACAGATTTTGATAAATGGGTAGAAAGAGGATATCAACTTGGGTTAAAAGACAGTGAATTACGAGAGTTTGTTAAACAACAACAAGAACTGGAAAGATAAGAATGGCAACAGAAGAGAGAAATTGAGAAAGGAGAAACCAGAAATAGAGAGAATGAAAATACAAATTGAGAAATAAGAAAAACTAAAAGAAGAAAATTAGAGAAAGAAGAAACTAGAAATAGAAAGAATGAGAATACAAATTGAGAAAGAAGAAAAAGAAGGGAAGGAGAAACTAAAAATAGAGAGAATAAGAGCACAAATTCAGATAGCAAAACTCACCCAACCGAAGGAAGAAGGACTCAAGAATGACAATGGAGTCAGAGCTAGCCAACCCAAGCTGCCCAAATTTGATGAACATAAAGAGGACATGGATGCTTTCCTGGAGAGATACAAAAGATTTGCCCAAAGTCAGAACTGGGACAAAGGCGACTGGGCAGTCTGTCTCAGCCCACTTCTCACAGGAAAAAGCCTACAAGTATATGCAGGCATGATGTCAGAAGATGCCATGGATTATGACAAATTAAAAGTAGCTTTACTGAAATAATATGAACTTATAGAGGAAGGGTTTTGTAGGAAGTTCAGAGGAGTCAAACCCGAAACTGGAGAAACTGTATTTCAGTTTGTGGCACGTCTGTGGTGATATTTCACCAGGTGGACTGATGTGGCCATGTGTGAAAATACTTTAGAGGGACTGGCAGACCTATTAGTATGTGAACAGTTGATGACCACATGTTCAACTGACATGTCACTGTTTTTAAAGGAGAGACTGTAGAAACTGTATTTCAGTTTGTGGCACGTTTGTCGTGATATTTCACTAAATGGACTGTGAAAATACTTTTTAGGGACTGGCAGACCTATTAGTATATGAAAAATTCATGACCACATGTTCAACTGACATGTCACTGGTTTTAAAGGAGAGAGCACCAAAAGATGTAGACAAGATGATCAAGCTGGCAGAACAGTATATGGAAGTCCATGGAGGTAG